TCAATATCCTAGGTATTATTTGCAGAATATCACATGACCTAGTTGTTGGCCTATTGTTGGCAGCTGCCTCATCTTCTCCTCCCTGTCCAGCGCCACCGTCCGCCACCTCTACCCACCAACTGTCCCCTTAAGGCTAAACCCAACTTCTGCCTGCCGCCCCTTTCAGCCATCCCTCGGTATTCATGTTTCTTTGTTGAATAAATTATACAGCACAGCAGGAATTACAACATTAGTTGAACCATCAAACATATATAAGAGTAGAAGTGCAACATTTCAAGAAAAGAAATCTAATTTTTTTTACTTAGGAAGTATAAACATAAAAAATAATTTTAGGGCAGTGGTTGTCTGTCTCAGGCTTGCCTAATAATGTAAAAAGAAAATAAATAAATGCATAGGAATCATAGGGATGGTTCATAGGGATGGTTCAGTTCTTACTGATCATCTCTAGCATATAGCTGCTGTAAATTTTTTTCAACGGTAGAGTACAAAAGAATCTAGCCCATTCTGAGACCTACCTCTACTGCTAAGTGGGATCCTCTTTACTTATCCCATGAGGAAAATATCTAGCCCAGTTTGGTTTAATTAAAAATCATTTTTTTTAGTAAATTTTAATGAAAATTTACAAATTGAAAAGTCGTGAATCCCATAAAATATATAGTTAAACCAAACATTGGCCTCGTGTAACTTGTTTACTATGTGGATCGTTGTTAAAATTAAAATTTGACTAGTTAAAAAATTTGATCAGACAAGCGTCGTGTTCGGCTAGCCAAGCCCATTAGCCGAGTGAAGCCAATGTATAGCCGCTGGGATGGCAATAAGTAAAACGGGCAAGCTGTATAAAAAAGTTCAAATCATGTCATGGCGGTGTCAATTTTTTCTTCTTCTGTGTACATAGTATTTTTCTATAAGTAATTATAGAAAATGACAAATCAAAGTATCGAATTGACGGATCATTGTTTCACTCCGTGAATCATTATTACAATATTATTAAATGAATACATAAAGAATATTAAATATTAAGGCATTTCATAAGTTAAAAACTTAAAAAGTGATTTTCGTAAATTAACACAGTAATTGGTAATTCTTTTTTATTTTAATTTAAAACAACGATGTGTGTTCAAACACACACACACACTTCATTTAGATAAGAAATTATGGTCTGTTTGATTGCAAAGGTAGAAAATGGGTATAAAGAAAATGAATTCCAGGAATTGAACTGCTTAGAAATTGTTTTCCTGGAGATTGTAATTAATTGTATTTGATTGGTATAATTTTTCACCTGATTTGTTTGGCTTTATTTTTCATAGAAATTATCAATTAAATTGATAAAATTTATTAAAATTGGTGATAGAATTTGTTTGGATTTCCAAAAAGTAAAAAAAAATTTTAAAAAATCAATTTTTTTTTGTTCGTTTGGCTTTGTTTTTCATGCAAATTGTCAATTAAATGAATAGATTTTTTTACCATTATGTTTGGAATTTGTTGCCATTTCTTAAAAAAAAAAATGTCACAGTGTGAAGAAAATGTGGAAATCCAGTTCCCAAGAAAATTATTCTCATCAAACAAACAAATTGGTGGAAGATGGAATTTGAATTCCTAGTTCCATGGAAAATTTTCCATATCAAACACTGCCTTACAGCCTTTGGATGAGAAAAATGTAATTTCAATTTAATTGATAAAAATTTGAATTTCAATACAAACTAGTGTCCAATTGCTAACACTAGAATGTAAACATATATAAACGCTCTCATTCTTACGTCGCGATGGTGTCTTCTCATTCACGTTCTCTCCAAGGCGCTACGTACATCATCTGTCACCACTTCACGAAACCATTGGCCTTCACGCCATCCACAAATGTTCTCATCTTTGCCTCAAATGTGAATAACTCACATGTTGTCACGGTATTCTTGTTCTCTTACCCAACACTTCCGACGCAGTCACCTTAGCCTTTCCCTTTTAGAGTTCGGATGTGCAATTGCAGATTGTTAAGGTAGAATTGTAATACATTCAATTTCTTAGTTATCAAATTTTATTTATTTTATTTTTTATTTTAAAAAAATTGTACATGAAATATTTATTTGTGCACAGTTTTTAATTCCACCTAAGTTTTGTAGCTAGTTCTAAGCTTGAATAAAGGAGGAGAGTTTTTACGAATATATAATTTCTTAAATTTTCATATTCCTTACAAATTTACGTTTTCATTATAACTAAGCGAAACTACAATTTCCAAAAGGAGAAAAAAGACGAGCTGCGAGTTAGCTACTCGACAAGCCGAACCGAACCCGTCGGTCGATGAGTCAAGGGACTCGATTCACCCCACTTAATATCTCTAGTTATATGCTGTCTGAATTTATGTATTTAAAATTTCAACTGTCGATGAGTATTACATAGTATACTATTAATATAATTAATCAAAAAAAATTATTTATTACTAAATTCTTCGACAAATTTTAATTTTAAATTTTTATTAACATTGCTAAACTAAACAAGATTGATTGTGAACTTCTGAAAGGGGATTGTCTCAATCTCAATCCATTTATGGGAGCTATTGTTCTAAGAGTAATAATATTCGAGATGCATGTTCGGAATACTCATGCATATCATGGAATTATATTCGAGATTTGTGAGTTTTTTGAAATTTTCGTGTGCATTAATTTAGTATAACATATATTTTATAATATTTAGCTCCTATTTGATGAGGATTAAAATCAAGATTTTAATATACCTGAACTCAACAATTAATTTAAACAACATATTTCACAAGACCTACAAATTTTTAACCAAACATTCGTTATCTTTTTTTAAAATCTATTAAAAATCTCAGAGCTATGCAAATTTATAGCTTAGAAGAGTAAGATTTTTTTTTGATATCCAGGTATCCCAACTTACGCCAGACCATGTCTTGGACCACCCATCCCCTGTCCCTCAGTGATGGGTGGAGGTTAACCGCGGGATATGCCCACGTTAACCAGGGTCTGTGCACCCTTTATACTCCTGGCCCCAAAGGAGCCTTCCTCCATGGATATTACATCACCAAGCTGCTCCACCCAAATTGAGTATATTACAACATAATGAATAGATTTTTTTACCATTGTGTTTGGAATTTGTTGCCATTTCTTAAAAAAAAAATGTCACCGTGTGAAGAAAATGTGGAAATCCAATTCCCGAGAAAATTATTCTCATCAAACAAATAAATTGGTGGAAGATGGAATTTAAATTCCTAGTTCCATGGAAAATTTTCCATATCAAATACAGCCTTACAGCTTTTGGATGAGAAAAATATAATTTCAATTTAATTGATAAAAATTTGAATTTCAATACAAACTAGTGTGCAATTGCTAACACTAGAATGTAAACATATATTTTTATCAAAAAAAAAAAGAATGTAAACATATATAAATGCTTTCATTCTTTACGTCGCGATGGTGTCTTCTCATTCACGTTCTCCCTAAGGCGCTACGTCATCTGTCACTACTTCACGAAACCATTGGCCTTCACGCCATCCACAAATGTTCTCATCTTTGCCTCGAATGTGAATAACTCACATGTTGTCACGGTATTCTTCTTCTCTTACCCAACACTTGCGACACAGTCACCTTAACCTTTCCCTTTTAGAGTTCGGATATGCAATTGCAAATTGTTAAGGTAGAATTGTAATACATTTTATAGTTTCACTTATTAACATTTTGTGTGTTTTTATGCTAATACCTTGGGCCATTTGAAATAGAAATATAATGAGCCTACCAAATTTATAAGTGGCCCGTCTGTTCATCATCCAAGACTGAACTTCTTTCAGGTCCACCTCAAGTTTATACCTTTTTACAAAATCAACAAAGCCGGAAATACAACACCGCTGAGTTTTTATGATAATATCAGAGACACCCTTTCACGTTTAAAAAATCACACTAATTTTTCACATTTCTAATTTTGAGTATTACATAGTACACGATACATGTCCTGCCTACTTTGCGAGTCATATATCTTTTAAAATGATAATATACCTAAAATGTCCATGTAAAGATAAAAAAAAAGACAAAATTTTAATTAAGAAAATATGATTCGCTCAAAGTTAAGAATATAAATTGACACGTTATATCGCTAATTCGACATGACATATTAGTTTGTAAGGAGAAAAACACTGTAAAATTTTGTTTGTTGCCATGTTTACTGTACATATTTTTCTTGCGGGAATTTCTATACATTCTCAAGAAAATAAACTTCACAGTAGTTTTTATTAAAGTTTAGGGTTCCATCTTAAAATATCAATCTCATTAAGAGGGGTCGCTCAAGTTCTTATATGTTGATTTTTATTTTCATATTTATTATATGTGAGATTTATTCTTTAATATGCCCCTACAAGATGGTGACTCGTTTAAGCAAATCAATCTTAAAATTTGCGAATTCATTTTTTTTAACTAAATCGAGTTGTTCCTTGAAATTCAATGGACTCGATACCATATTAAAACTGGAGCTTCATTTTAAAATGTCAATTTTATTAAGAAGAGTAGTCAAAACGTTTACATGGTCTATATTTTTATTTTTGTAGCTTAGAATAGTAATTTTTTTTTTTTTTTGATATCCAGATATTCCAGCTTACACCAGATTATGTCCTGGACCACCCATCCCCTACCCCTCAGTGATGGGTGGAGGTTAACCGCGAGATATGCCCAAGAATGATAAATGTGTGTAAGAATGACATTTTTATATGATTGCCTATAGATTGATCAACATACGCAAAATATGCAAAAAGAGGAAAAAATATGACAAAAAATAAAATAAAAATGAAGCTGGTGAGGTTAATTTATTTCATTACCATAGAGTGCAACACACCACATATATTATATCATATTTTGCTTATACAAAAAGGATAATTATATTCCATTGCCATTGTGCTTTTATTGTCTTGACTTCATTAGGGTTTTTCTTAACACGCAGACACACGCGTGCGTATATATATAAAATATAAAGCAGTAGTCATCCTCCAGAGTCTGCATAAAAATTTAGAACACTTGTAATGGATTTTCTGTATCTCCCTTAACACAAACTGCTTCGGAGCAGAAGCTTTGTTGAACTTCAAGGGCTAGTTCCTCCACACTCACTTGACATTCAAGTCCAATCTGTGAACAAATACTTGTTTTATAATCTATGTATAGCTATCTTGGCTCATGCATGATGCCACATAATATGCTGTGATATAATTAGGACTGTGTCTTCCATGCTACTGATGTTAACAATATAAATTGACACGTTATATGTAGAGCTCATTCGACATAGTTAAAATTCTAATCATATAATTTTTTATGATTTTGTTTATAATGAAGTGTAAACAATATACATACCTTTATGACAAAAGAGTATAGGACAGTGTCTTCCATGCTACTGATGTTCAAATGAAGAATCTCAAAAGAAAGTTTCTCCAACACATTGATTATCTTCACAATTTGCCCCGGGATTCTCCGGGATATCGTTCGCAGGATGACGTTGGATCCCGAAATCTTAGCTTCAACATCTGCAAGAGGAGAGTTGCAACAAGTCCCAACTTCCTTGAACTGATCAGTATTACATGCAAATAGTGGACTGTCTGGTTGAGGACTTAATTGAAAGGGCATTGGACTAGGTCCAGGGCTAGGGCTTAGACTACTACTCTTTCGGCGTTTTTTCGACTCCAAAGATTGAACAACTTGGTGCAATTCCTTGATGAATTCTATTACACCACTTATAATTGATGCTTGATCTCCCTTCATTTCCAAATTACATGAAAAAAAAAAAACCAAAAGTTGATGATTATTGAAACTAGTTGATTAACTTCACCATCAATTTACTCTGTAAACGTGCATATACAAGTCTGATATTCGTAAAAGGGGAGCCTTGTGTAATCTTCCTAAATTTCCATATACAACATGAAACAAACAACAAATTAAGTTGATGATTAATTATAAAAACTAGTAACAGGCAAGATAAATTTAGCCCCGCTCGAGTCTCTCTTTTTTTTTTGTAAAATGAGTTTTGTAATAGGGATTTTTTTAGAGAATGAGGTGTTTAAAGTATGGAATTTTTTTTTATTTTATGTGTAAAATTATTTTATTGGAAGAATGTGTAGTTAAAAAAATGGGACTCAAACGAGGGCTTAATGTGCAAACGCGCATGCACACGTGTCATATAAAATGAGAGACTTGTTTGATACGTGTCTCGATCTACCTTGATTACATGATACTAACACTAAAGTTTGACGATTATCAAAATAGTTATGAAGGTTTGCAAACATTCATATACACATTTCTGATATACATACGCAGGAAAGGAAAGACATGTCTCATACGTGTCTTGAACTTCCTTGATTTCAATATCACGACATGAAACAACAGTTACAACACCAAAGTTGAAGATTTTTCAACTCATTAAGACTGAAGATAAACTGAATTTGTAAACGACCATATACACACACAATTGTTCTAGGGAGGGAGGGGGAGAGAGAGAGAGAGTACCCGTTTGACGTAGAAACATGGAGTTAAGGAACGCAAAACCTTAAGATGTTCATTCATTTGTCTTCTCCTGTTCCTCTCCACAGCTATGTGAGACATGGTTCTTGATGAAAGAGAGAAACAGCTTATAAGTTTGTTCTATGTTTTCTGCCTCTATATATAGGCCAGACACTAGAGAATATTAATCTCCATATAAGGGGGACATCTCTATATTCGTGGACTAGGTTTTTCATTTAATGCTGCGTGTTACACTCTCGTGAGGTTAATTAGTTTTTCCCTTTTACTTCCACTTTCTGTCTCTGGATATCTCTCTCTTTCTCTCTCTATATATATCTATTTTGTGAGTATATATTACATCTCACGTTTATGATCTTGGAACAATTACGTTCCCAGCGTACAGATAAAAGAGAAATGGTTAAGTCTCACTTTATGCATGCACAATACCTGCTCCTTTTGCTTCTCTTCATGCACGCCACGCTAGATTCTTCATCACTCCAATTGAATCTCCATGTGTATTCTAACGACCCGACTTGAGGTTCCGACCATCCTTGTTATTGTTAGTAGTTCAAGTTCTTATATGATCATCATAGATAACTCGTCGAGAATCCTCAATTTTAGAATTCGATTTCTCTTCAGAGCTTTTTAGTCTTATTGACTTGCCCATTTGAGCATTTCGGAGGCCGATCGATACGACTTGTTGAATTAACATATTCCAAGAAAAAGAATAGTTTTAAGATAAATTATTCTATTGCGATTCTCATCGATTACTCATAGTTTTCTAAGATTGAATGGAGGTTGTAATTATGTAAAAGCTTGGGGGAATAAACTTTCTTAATACCGTTTAACATGTAACATTTGTTGTTATATGTCGAAGATTTTAATTAACATATATGAAATATGGCTTTAGTTGTCGGGAGGGTTTAATCTCCTCATGTTTGTTTTAAAAAAAAAAAAACCCTTATCTAATGTACATTCAGCCCCTATTTACCATTAAAATAACTTTTATTTTTCATACTCATTTTCAACCACACATTTATATAATAAAATATTTTGCACGTAAATTCAAAACTTTTCCCAACTTTTGATTACACATTCTCCAAAAAATCACTATTCAAAATTTTTTATTATGTGAATGTGTTGTCGAAAATAAATATGTGGAAAAAAGACTTGAAATAATGGTTATCAAACAGGGGCTAAGTCTAAGTCGACAAGTCTACGGGAAGGATCAATTTATCAACTCTTCAGGCGAGAGAGACAAGTCCATCCCACTTACAGCTCAAGTTGTTAAAATTGACTGGTTCTACAGAACACAATATCAGTACATTCTTCCTCTAGGTTCTTTGACAGACTACAAAAGAAAAACTGTAATGCCTCCATTAGTTATATATTTATGTAAGCTCTCAAAAGTGAGAACCCAGAATAATTAGTATAAACAAGTCGAATGATAAAGAGTGCTCAAACTTCAGTAAGGATACTGCACATGATCACAGACAACATGTTTAAAGTTATTACTTATAATTTTCAGTGCATCCTTTTCATAGCATTTCTGTAGTATCAACGTAGTTTTGCCATTTTTAAGATATATTCATAGACAAAACACTAGTGAATTGCGGAGGTCTAAACTTCACGAGCCCTTCCAGTCTTCGATTCTGCAATAAAGAATATATCAAGCAAGGTTTGAAATTAGTGGGAAAGGATAACTGAAATAAAACTGTATTTGACAAGGAAAATTCAAGGGTTTGAACAGTAATTCACCGCAAGCACGTTTTAATCTAGGGAGATGGAAAAAAACGTTTATATTCTGTATGTTGTCACCGCATCTAACAGTTACTCCAGCAAAATTAATAATCGTGCCATATGTCTTGAATTTTCCCCAAACCATAAATTAGCTATCCCGAGCTAGTGACTAATAATTTTGCAGAATGAAGACATCGTCCACTTGCACATGAAATTTCTCTAAAATCTAATACAACTGTGAGTCTGTGACAGCCCAGCCACTTTACATGATTGCTATAATGGAATGGTCATGTTCTCTATACGTTTGGACAATCCTCATTCTACCTCGGTAAAAAGGATATAATAACAAATCTAGCTTATTTTAAATCAAGAAAATATTTTCAGCATTTCATTGTTGTACAAGGACTAATCATTGATTTTCATCAATTTGAAAGAGAATTTCATTTCTTATGGCAATAAGCCTTTCCCTTTGGTCCCCCAATTAGAATTGGATAACTTATATCCACGAGGACTTGATCAGTTATTTACCCTAATGGCATCATTAGACGATCTACTCTTCCCCTCCCTCCCAGGAAAAAAAAGTGTGTTTGGTATAGAGTCAACCCTTATCCAATGAGAGTCATGAATTTTCTAAATTGCCATCATCAAACCCGTCATCTTCACCAAGGGTATAATAAGTTTGGTAAACACCGCGCAATAGACTTAATTATTTGCACAACAGACAACAACAAAAAAGCATATATAAAAAACGAAGTAAATCATTTTACTCTTAGCCCACTTCAATATTTATTTGTATTAGAAGTTATCTTGAGATGATTTAATCTTTAAACCATTTTTTTATTATTATTTTTATTTTGGATCGGTATCTATAAACCAATTCTTACATGTAGCATTGCATGGATAAGAGAACCAAGTTTCACCTGAACAACAAGAACATATTACAAAGAATATGGTAATGGTGGCATTCCACAATACTTAGGGATGAAGATATGTTATGGTGTCCAAATTATGTTCACCAATACCACTGATTATGGAGTATGGACAGTAGTGACAAATTTGATCTTCATATTAAACCACCAATGATAATCTCGAAACTACTTTTGTATCAACATTTGTTCAAATATTTTTCTTCATTCTAGTTTTATTTGTAATTCTGCATTCAGGTCGCATACCTGTTTTGGCTCCTCAAAAACATGCCCTTGTGTGAAAGAATTGCTAAAACGTCTTGAGTGAACAAAACTATCTTGTTTAAAAACAGTTGTATGATAAGCGAACTCTAAGTTAAACAAGCAAGTACCTTGAAGAGATCTCTCGAAGTTTTGCAGCTGCGAAATAAAGCCAGAGTTGGGAGATGCAACTGGTCTTTTTCTCTTCACATGCTCCAGAGCTTCAGATAAGCTCATGCCGTTCTTCATCATCAGATAAGCAACAACAATGGCCACACTGCAGAGTACAACAAATAAAATCAAATTCAAAACCAACACTGAAACAAACATGGAGTACATTTTCAAAGTATGTTCAGGAAAAAAATCAGAGAAATCAAAGCTAAGGCTACAACAACTCATTAATTCAGTCATCGGAAATTCTGTTTCTGATCAAAGTTTGATGATCAAAGTGTGTTAGTTACAAGACATGGTGATCAAGCTAACATTGCAGGCTAAGAAAGATTGAGAGCACCAACACGGCCTCTTGGATGACGGTGTTTATTTATTAACTTATCATAAGCCAATTTTGGATTCTTTTTTTACATTACATAAACAAAATATATACAATGACTTTTGCATGTCACTTAAGATACTTTTGAAGTGAGATCATGATAAACTGACACGGGGCGTTGAATTAATCCTCAAGATATCACCAACAATCTCCATTTAGAGGACCATATTCATGCGCTTTCGAGTGAATCTTAATAAGATTTGTAGTTCCATCTTAAAAAGGTCAACCTTGTTAATAGAAGTAGTTCAAGCACTTATGTATTGATTAATAGTTTCACATTTATTTGATGTAGATTTTATCCCTTAACGTTCTCTCACAATATGGTAGCTCATTTGAGCAAGCCAATCCTTGAATCCTTGTGCTCATTTGAGTCTTAATTGGATAAGATAGTTTGTTGGAGCTTAACTTGTTCTAATTTCATAGCAAGACTTGGAGTTCCATTTTAAAGATCAACCTTATTAAGGAGAGTGATCCAAGCCCTTATGAGATTTATTCCTTAAGAAATTTAAGGATATTGAAATGGTCCACATACTGCCAACTCATTAGTCAATAGAGCTAGAACATAAGTACATTGTCCAACCAACATCTTGAATATTTGGTGAATTTCAAAAAGAAACGATTCCACAGTGTTTTGGGAGGACTCTTATTCATTTCTAAATTGATGAAGAAAAGAACAAAAATAGCTGTATTGCACAGCAACTAGTAACATTTCAGGTAAATCGCTCTGTTTTGCCTTGTAGAATACCTCGGGTATTGTACTGACTAAAAGGATCCAGATCGGCCAACAATGCAAGTATGTGGAATATGGAAACGGCTGATCAGATATTTAAGGCATTGGAGAACATTTCTATGTACGGTTGGCCACGAAAAAACAGGTTGAGACTCAATTTTACTCAGATTTGTACCCAACTAAGCAAACTCGAGAACATGAACAAACAAGATTGACTCCTGTCACTCTTTTTAATTAATGCAATTGAGTTAAAGCTTGTAACTGAATATTAAAAATTTTTCCAAGTTTCCCTTTCCCTAATAGCTAAAGTTGGAACAAATTAATTGTGGAAGCTGGTGCCACTACATTATCTTTTACTTCGATCTAGTGATACAAAGAATCTTCTATATCCATAAAAATGGTAAACATTACCTGTACTTAAAATTACTTCACCACAGAAAAGGTCAAAATAAATAGAATAAAAGCTAACCTTCGGGATCTTCCAGCAAAGCAATGAACCAAAACAGCACCACCCGTCTTTTTTGCTTCTTCAATAAATTTGAAACACTCACTAAAGTACTGTGATACATCTACATCTTCTCTATCCATTACTGCTTGAATTCAGAAATAACATCATAAATAAGGAGTTAACCAAGTTTTTTCTATAAAAGGCCAAAAGATTATGAGTTCCTTCAGTAGGAAGCTAGAACATCAGACATAATAGTAAAAGAAACACAGCATTGCAAGAAAAAAAATTCCATATGTTAAAAAGGTGTTAGTAAAACAACCTCAGAAGACAGATCTGAAGATGGCATTAAAGTGTAATTATTTGCAACAAACACTTTACACTTCTAAACTAAATTCACCAATAGACGTTTGGCCAAGCTTTAAAAAGGAAAAAAAAAGGGTTACTTAAGAAAATGTAATTATTTGCAACATGCACTTTACACTTTTAAATTAAATCCACCAATAGCACGTTTCGCCAAAGCTTAAAAAAAGAGTTACTTAAAAGTTATGTTTCTAAATATATTTGGATAAATAACTTTTTCTGACTTCTTAATAAAAAAACTTACGTATTTTGAAAGTAACTCTTAGCTTGCTATCAAAATAAATAATTTACGTACAATTTTAGCTGATGAAAAAATTGATTATTTGAAAACTTAATTATCTAGGATAAGTAAACTTTTCAAGCTTGGCAAACATGCTTAAACTCACTTTGGCTCACCATCACAATGAAACAAGTAATTCTTCTTTATGACATTAAGCAATGAGTTTATTGTACAAATTTAAGTAAAATGGATGCTATTTTGAAGATTTGACTAGGCAACTCTTTACCAGGAATAGTTTTGTATATAAAATCATTTGGATGAGCAGGGGGCAGTGAATGGGCAACCGTCAATATGTGTGTGATATTCAAGCGTTTCAAAGTGCTCTTGTCATTGGCAGCTCCAAGCGAGCCCAAATAAAGACCCTGAGAAAGTACAAGAACAATCTCCTAAGTTATTATTTTAAAAATTAGAATCACCAGCTCAACAATAATTACCTCTTCAATCTTGCAAGGAATATTATCCGCTTTAATAATTTTTGTTGCTTGAAAAACTTGCAGCAATGCTGCAATGCGATCCTTGAAGATGGTATCATTCATTGCTAAAACTTCTATATCTTTTACTCTCTATCCAGATGATTGATGCTACACAAAACAATAACCTTTACATACGAGATGACATGAAGATTTCTATATCTTTTACTCTCTGTCCACGTGGTTGATGCTACACAAAACAATAACCTTTACATACGAGATGACATGAAGAACCAGAAATAAATGGCAAATTATCACAGATTCCAAATTCAAGGCACACAGACTATAACGTTCAGGTTTTAGCAACTATTTTTATTTTTATTTTTTATAACCGTGGATGTCCGGGCCAACTTGCGCGCACCTCGACTAATTCCACGGGGCCCTAAAGTTTACGGGCGGGTACTCACCTCAGTGGCCCTGAGGGGACTCGAACGGGTGACCATTGGGGAGCAAACCCAACGCCTGACCAATTGAGCAATCCCTCAGAGTTGGTTTTAGCAACTATAACACATAATTCCTCCTTCCACAAGACTGACTCACAGAGACACAAGCATTGAATTCTTTTCACTTGGTTTACGTCAAGATAAGAGTATAATTCTGATTATGTAATTTCGAGAAGCTCACAAAAAATTTAAAATCTTATTAATTTTAAGATAATGTCAGCGTAATAAAAAACTGCAGTTCCGCTGAAATACCTGAATCCTTATATTGTTTCTTGCCTTTAGCATAATCGCCAATAGGGAGTAACAAGAGAATTATTTATTGATCTCCTAAATGCAATTATTTAGCAAATGAGCATAAGACAAATTATATGTAGAATCAAGTTTTAGATATATTCCGGTTATTACAATCAACTGCAGTCCAATTCAAAAACAATGCAAAAATCATAGCAAGCATCCATTTCCATGAAATCGCCAAAACAAGATAGAAATTGAAGTATTTCATCGGATCTCAAACGCTATTTCATATGAAAATCCAAAAGAAATCATCAAAAACAAATAATTTCCCAAAGAATGAGGCATATAACTTTTCAAGAATGAATCTTTCACGTTCTTTACAAATTGAAACTTCATTTAAAGCTTTCATTTTCATAAACAGAATCGCCACTAAAATACCATCAAATAGAGCCAATAAAAATCGCAAAAACTTCAATATAACGACAAATCAATCACTACAGCAATGATTAGCCATAGAAGTAAAAAGAACGAAAGATCACACGATGATTAAATAAATACATACCCGAAATTTTGTCAGTGACAGAATCAGTATCAAA